TCTGAAAATAATTCACTTAAACAAAATTTACAAGGTTTTTCAATTAGTTGTTTTCAAAGTTTCTCATTCCAACAGTATTGTTGAAAAAAAGCTGTTTTAAACATGTTGAGTGCAAACAAGAGTTGGTCCATACACAAGAGGTTCAGATCAGACCTGCGTGCAAAGCAAGTCGTGTCTGATAGCCCGGGACTAGTGGATTTTCTCATCGGGCTAGTGAATTCTGTTCTCAACTTGCCCAACAGGCAAATGAATTTTACTTAGGAAATTCACATCACAGAAAAACAGTAATCAATCCTGCCCATCAAATTTTTGGGGGGGCTAATTAAAATGGCTCTTGGGCTGGTACATGCTAGTTGAAGCTTGCCTAAATGGCAAGCTGTATAACTGACTTTCTTTGCTCTCTGGATCCAACAAAGACTTTTGTCAAGTTTCGAAAAATACTTTCACGTCAACCACCAATGGGGTCAATCCAACATATGCACGATGAAGTATATAATTAAAAATTTCAGAGCAGAGTGTTTTGTGACCAAATCTACCAATGCACGATGTACATAAGCCATTACCAAAAATCAATTGTTAATCATAGAGATTGTATAATAGCACAAGAAATTATATATTTGATTTTACAGTTTCTTGAATTAATTTTTTAATAATTCTTTTTTAGTTTCAATGAGAACTTGTATAATACCCTAGATGAGTAACAGTGAATGGTATTTAAGTGTCTGAAGTAGAGCTATATTGTTCATAGACGTAACATTAAAAGATGTAAAAACTTATCATAAGCTATAACATAGCTATAATAACATCATTGTAGTGTAGTTGGACAGATGGGTTTAATTTATTACATCAAGGTGCAGTTTTACTTAGTAACGTAAGAAGATTCCAGTACATTTTACATAGCCTAACATGAACTGTACACTGTGGGATCTTGGGTAGTCCTTAAGTGCAAATACATGCACACTCTCCTTTTGCCATCTTGGGAAAACTCCCACAATCCTAAGTCTGCCCCTGATGTCATTTTTTTAGAACTAATTAAAGCTAATAATATTATTGAAAGCCATCCCTTTAAGTATGCAATGTTCACAGATGCAACCTTCCTACACATAATATTAGTGAGTTTACGCAACAAGACGGTAGGAAGAAGAGGACGGCAAATCGCTTGTGCTTGATGAACGTGAAAAGGCTATTTCTTGCATATTTAGTGGTGATCTTCACTAACATCAATGTTTTCTGGTCTTTTACAAAAAGATCTGTTTAAAAGAAAGTGAAGTTTGGCGAAAAGTTATTTCAAACAAAATTATTGTTATGCCTTTTACACAAGGTTTGCCATCTTCTTTCCTCTCCCTTCCCGTTATGTAAGTTCATTATTTATCTCACAGAAACAGTTCTGTCAATAACCAACGATCCTGTTGGATTTTAAGTTGTTCACTATTGCGAACGCAGATTACAGATTAGTGTGATTCACTTTTCAGTAGAAGGTGACACACATTGACAAAAAAGTCTTTTTTTTAAGTCTTAGTATCTAATAATGCTAACACATTTTAACAGTACGTGTGAAAAATAAAGTATAGGTGAAATTTTGCAGAAAATCAACTCCACAAGGGAACTGAAAACATACTGAAAAATGTTTGCCATGAATGGTTGCAATTTTTTTTTTGTTCTTACTGACATTATGAACACCAGAATGTGTTTAGAGCCTTGTGAAATGAACACCCATGCCACAGGCCCATAACAAGGGGCATTATGGAAATATATAAGATAGTGGATTGTTCATGTCAAAACCCAAAAAACATTTTTGACGTTAAATAATAACATCTTGTGATCAAGATTATATGCTATTCAGTGAATGAAACACTTTAGTACTGTCTTATGGTGGTACTACTTTGAAGTATTTTTCAAACAGAAATTTGGTATTCTTCCTTAACTTTCATTGTAGACTTTTGTGAGTTAAAGGATCATTAATTTGATAACTGTTATTGAATAATTCATCTACTGGCCCCGGTTGTTCAAACGTTGGATAGCGCTATCCACCGGATAAATCACTATCCAGTGGGTAAACATTACGGAAACCAATTGTGCTGTCCACTGGATAGTGATTTATCCAGTGGATAGCGTTATCCACCTTTCAAACAACTGGGGCCAGACGAACACTGGCCTTATCGGCTTGTTTCGGTCTAGGTCTCATAGTCTGTTAGGGGTGCTTTAAATAATTATATCACTATTACAGTAGTTGTCCAACCTGAAAAGACTTTACAACTCATTAGAATATGAGCTTAGAGTTCTGCATTATTCCCTCTGTTGTTTAAGTATATCGTTGGCAAAATTCGAATGGATTTTATGTTGTTCATTTGGGACATTTTAACATGACATTGGAAAACCTACGGGGGCACAGTGCTTTTGCTCTGTCTAGAGTACATCCATAGAACAAATTTCACAAATTATTTAGTATCAGTGAGAGCTTTTTTGCTTTTCCCTAATGATTTAGTAATAGCATTTGTTTTACGAAATAAATGCTAGTAAACCATCTTGAGGAAATCAGACATAAACGTATATAGTTTTAGGCTATTTAAAAGAATTCTAGCAGATGTTTATCACCTTAATTTTTATTATTACATGATAGTTTACAGAAAGAATGGAAGTACAACATTTGTAACCTTTACTGACAATAGGTCTAATATTTACGTGAGATAGGCGATGTGAAGATTGTTAATTGTTATTAATAATAATTATGTACCTTTTCATTATTAGAATATACATGTACCTGTATGAGAATAAACTTGAAAAGGAGTTGAATTTTGTTGTCATGGTCACTCAAGGCTATTTTCCACTTTTGTTAATCCAAGATGGGCATGTTTGAGAGGGGCTGAGGAGTTCAAAACCATGTTAACAGGTTAACTTGATGTGAAATCAAGTAGTCATCCTGGTATGGAACTTGTGACAGTGCATGTTTTCTTTAGTTGTGTAATTAACTAGGTATACCTATCGATAGAGTGCCAACGAGCAAATCATGCTTATTTTGCTTAGGAGTAAAATTCCTTTTTTTCCCATTTGACCATTTCTTGGTCCCTTCCTGTTGCAAGGATTATTTTCTTGAAAAGTTCTCAGATTCAGTTTGGTGGCTTTACAAACCTGCCATGTAAAAGTGTGAAGTGTCTTGAAAGAATAAAAATCAGCTTTGCAGAGGAAGTGATCGGGAATATTATTAAGTCCAGCTACAAATCTACTGTCGGTTCGGTTTCACATTGTTGATAAATATTTGCACGGTTTAATCATTTACACCTCCTTTCAAATTTCCCGAGTCTTTTTGTTATCGGATTGAAACTTAAACCCGGTAGCCGGGTTTAACGAAAAAATTTAGGTAAAGAAACACAGGAAGTCGCGACGGCGGGAAGTGTGTGAAATTTTGTTTGTTATTCAACTTGAGCCCGTGCACCAGGTACTGCCTTTTGATTGGTTCACAACTGACCACTTGGTCTCAGGGGAATCTACATTACATTGGGTTAATACACTTTTTTCAGCTCAATCGAGAATTTTTCTGCCTATTGCCCAGTCTTGCGCGGCTCTATTCTACTGCCGCCTCGCCATCTGAGCGTCTTCGCTCGGATGGTTCGTTGGCAATAACACTACTACAAGGAAATTTTTAAAAGTACTGGTACATCTAGTTCAAGCTGAGCAGGGTTTGCTATCAGATAATTAACTTCAGTGGAAGTTTTGATCAAGAATTTAAAATTAAAAACAACAACAACAACAAAACAGTGCCTTCCTACCCTCACAACCATGTGGTTGCATCTTGGGTTGTTGAGGTGGTTGAAGTTGGATGAAAATCAGTCATAAGTTTTAAAGAGTTTTATAGTTTTTGCCAATTTCTTGCACCAACTTAACCTTGGTACATACTTGGTGACGCTGAAGTTTTCTTGTCAGTACAGTACTCGCACGCTTGTAAATTCTTCACTCCATGTCAGTCAACTCATAACTTTAACATTTATCACAAGCAAAACCCAAAACAAATCAACTGGAAACTATTAGTTTTGGTCTGGCGTTGCACCATTTTTATTATGATCTTACTTCGGACGACCACAATAAATTAATATTAACGTGAAGTGAAATGTTTCTACAATATCTGAATTTATAGAGCATTTACCGCATCTCTAATGACAGCTCAAGATACCAATAACTTAATACAAAAAGCATAATGTACACTGAAATTTAACTATTTTTAAAAGGCCGTAATATTTAATATTTTGCTTTTGCAAGTTGAAAGTAAAATGGATTTTGAGTATTACTTGAACCTCATAGGGAGATAAAAGCTGCAGCTTCAAATATTCTGTTAGAGCTTGAGTCAAAGTTAATTATACTTCTTTACACCAACAATCAAGGATTATATAATAAATTACATGGAAGTCTACAAGTTTTGCAGCAAAAATTTATAGTATAGTGTTACTGTAAGTTACTAAACAGGCATGCTACTCCTTGACTGCTGGTTTAACTGAATTGAGAATTTTTAAAGAACAGCAAATTTTAATAATAATATATCTTGTTAAATTGATTCAATTCATGACTGGTTTAAACTGTCATGTATTTTGACAATGTTTTTCCTACATGTAGTCAGCTGCATGTGTTTCTGGACCTTCCATGTAAAGGTTTACTCAACCAATGTTGACCCAAATAAATATATCTAATTAAACAAACAAAAATATGACTGTGTTTACAATCTCCTCCCTACCTCAAATCATAATATTGTTGTTCAAAATGACACCATAAAATGTACAATTAGTGGAAACTTGTTGATTATGACAGTTTATCCAGAGGGCAAATAAAAAAAATATCCATAAAGATAACAAATTTACCCTTCCAACAAGTTGACTGGAGGGAAGTACTTACACCTTCCCCAACCTTTCAACAATTCAAATAAGAAGTAAAAGATATAAAAGCAGGATTTAAATCAAAATTCTCTCAAAAAGAGTTTTAAAAATACCTATCAATACAGTAAAGAGAATCTCCAGTGTGGATGCTTAGTTTACTTATCTAGAAGAGACAGCTGGATGATTTTCTCAAGTTCCTCTTCCTCTTGTTTTCTTAGTCGCTCATCTTCTTGCAGCTGTTGTTCTGACAATGCCATGGCCAACTGTAAGTCTTCATCATAACTGACAGCTCCATCACCATCTTGTCTGTTTTCAGATAGATTTTGTGCTGGTTGATCATTTCCTTCAATACCACTTTCTCTCATGCTCTCTCTTATGGCCCTGTCAACAAAAGAAGTGAAATGNNNNCCCAACCTTTCAACAATTCAAATAAGAAGTAAAAGATATAAAAGCAGGATTTAAATCAAAATTCTCTCAAAAAGAGTTTTAAAAATACCTATCAATACAGTAAAGAGAATCTCCAGTGTGGATGCTTAGTTTACTTATCTAGAAGAGACAGCTGGATGATTTTCTCAAGTTCCTCTTCCTCTTGTTTTCTTAGTCGCTCATCTTCTTGCAGCTGTTGTTCTGACAATGCCATGGCCAACTGTAAGTCTTCATCATAACTGACAGCTCCATCACCATCTTGTCTGTTTTCAGATAGATTTTGTGCTGGTTGATCATTTCCTTCAATACCACTTTCTCTCATGCTCTCTCTTATGGCCCTGTCAACAAAAGAAGTGAAATGACAACTGATCACTGGGCTCAGGCCTCAGAAATACAACATTTTTTAAATTTTTTTTTAGCTAGATTTAAAAATTTCAAATAAAAAATATTAATAACTTAGCATTTTTTTTACACGAGTGCGATGATGTATGGTGTATGATGATGGCTTTTTCGTTTTATTTGATTGCATCATTATCAGTGTACTGGTGTCTGCATGTAGTACTGTAGAGAACAGTTTCCCTTAATGTCACATTTCATAGGAAGCAGCCGGGACCCATCTAGGAAATGTCTGATTATTTACCATTTTTGACCTTACAAATCTTCTATACATAAACTGTGAGCATCATGTGCATCATATCAGGATACACGTCAAACAAAATAAAAACTACTGAGAATAGCATTTAAAATACATGTATTATCATTTTCTAGGTTTCATGCATAACCACTGATATAACAGACTTTTGGCTATGCATTACTACTGTCATAACTGAGAGTTCAGAAATATTCAAGTGACAATGACAGAAATAATAACAACCACACTGAATAATAACCCATATATTTAATTCACTCTGCTTGGCGCTATCATTTTACACAAAACAATGTAATGTGTAGCCATCTCTCTGCACAGCTGTGCAACCCATCTCTCTTTTTGTGCATTATATCCAAAGTATTAGAACGATGCATATTCAAGCACTTCAAGGAATTCCTTTGTCCTTTGTTTCATAATGCACAACATGGGTTTCTTCAGGGTCACTCAATGGTCACACAGCTGTTGGTATTTTATCACGAAATTAGCCAGTCTTGCAGTTGGACATTGTGTATTGGATCTTTGACAGTGTCTCTGACCAAAGGCTGCTTCTTAAACTCTCCCGGTATGGAGTCAGTGGCAAACTTCTGCAGTGATTCGAGACTTAGCTAGGTGGATGCGTTCAGCAGTGCTTGGTCCTCGGTTTCACGTCAAGCCATTCTCCAGTTCCATCAGGAGTTCCTCAGCGCAGCATCCTCGGTCCTCTGCTGTTTTTAGCTTATGTGAATGATCTCCCGCTGGTGATTCAGAATCGTATGTGATCTTGGCGGATGAGCATCATTGAAAGTCTACAGGACTGTGAGTCACTCCGAAGAGGACCTTGACAGTCTGCATTGCTGGAGCAATGTTTGGCACCTAAAGTTTTACACCTATAAATGTGAGGTACTAATCGTCTCATGTAAGTGCCACCCATTTCGCTACAATTACAAATTGAACAACTCACTTAAATATGTCACTGAAGTACAGTGTAAAAGACCTTGGAGTGACTTTCTCACCAGACCTCACATGGGACACTCACATTAACACTGTCTTAGAGCAAAAGCAAATAGCATGTTTCCATTTTTGCAGCTCAATAGTGTTACATCACTCACTACAGACCATTGGGAATTAGCATGATCCTATTTGTAGGATCATGTAATGGCTATGTTAGTGACGTATTGGCTCGCAGAACGATAGGTAGTATAACAAAAATAGAGAGTCTTCGATGCAGGGCAACAAAATGCATCTTTAACATGCACTGGCAGGAGTATATTTCGTATCTGACACGAGCACCTTTCTTACCTCAATATGCTGCCTTTAACAACTAGGATGAAGTGGAAGACCTAATTTTTTATCTCAAGTGTTGCAGTGGCTACTACTCCTTACCCATAGATGATTATGTCAAGCCTACATATAAAGGCACTCTTCCCACTCGCCACAGCTCTCATCGAGACTTACTAATTCCTAAGTGCCACACAAAGCTCTTTCAATTTAGTTACTTTAGCTGTATTACTAAAATCTGGAAAACTCTACCTGAATCCATTCGTACTCTTACCTCTCTTAACCAGTTTAATTCTCACTACTCCAATGCTATTCTGCTGCTTTTTGTACACACTACGACGTCACTAACTTTAACACCTGGAAGTCAATCTGCTGCAAATGCAGCATGTCTCTTAATCTTCTATTAGCTGGCAACTGCTGCTGACACTTTTTAATGGCTGCGGGAGTGAACTGTTCTTATAGTACTTGGAAATAGGATGTTTATACTTCTTACAACGTTTTAAATGTTTACATTTTAGTATTTGAATGTGCATTATTCTTAATGGCACACTTAATTTGGAGCCATGCTTTGTGTGTCCTGCACCATTGTCTCTGGCATTCTTGTAATTTGTTCAAATCTGTATTTTATCTTAGTCATATCCATGGTGAAAGTGATTAAATAAATAAATAAATAAGTTCAGGCTAGAACGCTTATGCTAGGAGGTGACAGTTTTAATAATTAAAAGTGTTATTTGATTATTACATAACACTTTATGACAGTGTAGGCCTAACATTTACCGTTGAAGGTCATCCTCTGTTTCCTGTTGACTGTCCGTTAAGGCCTGTAACGTCAGTCTCTGTTCAGGGTTCTGCTGGTATTCCAATAAACTCTGCTGTATTGCTAGCTGAAGCATCTCATCTTCCTCATCCCTGAGAGGAGCTGCCAAGATCAGATGATCATCAGTAAGAAACAGCATATTAATATTAATTAATAATTTAAGGCCATTACTGTGAGAATGAGTGTCTTCCAGGTGAAGTTAAAACATCAACTGAGGTTGTGTATTCAGATTAAAGGAGTTAACAACCACACTGCAAGAGTGCCTTCAGTGGTAGTGGTTTAGGGTAGTTCACTACAACTGTCGTCTTTCACATGATTCGGTGGCATATGGTCAGAGTTTCCTTCATGCAGTGTTTTCTTGCCACAAGGTTTCGTTTAGCTAGTTCCCCCCTCCCCCCAACTTCCCTCCCTATACTGTTACATTTTCTCCACTTATTTTTTTCACTGTGACAGCTACCTATTTTGTTTCCTTTTAATGGGGACTTATGGCTGGGTAGCACTGTTGTGCCAGCCATGGGGGCAATATTCAATCTATGGGGCTGCCACAAGTCAAAGCCCCAGATACCCTGGACATGCACCCAACCTCCATCTAGCCATGCAGTTGTTTATAACTTTAATAATATTAGAACTTATACTTACCTGTAGGATGCTGATCCAGATTAACCTCTCTGTACCCTACCGGGGCATCAAAACAAGTTGTCTCTATGACACATCTTGAAGCCATTCCTGAAACAGCAGCTGCTTCTGCTTCATCCTGTTCTGCAGCAAAGGTCCCATTGTTCTCATCAATCTCCTTGATATCAACTTTTATTGCATGCACCCCAGACACTGGGGATTCTCCTCCACCAATATTACCAAATGTTACCTTGGCATTGAGGACATGAAACAGTGGAATTTCTAAATAAATAAGTAGGAAATTAAATAGTTGACTGTTGCAATATGTAAGTACACACAAATTTGTCTTTACAGTAGCTATAGAATAAAAGGTCAAAGAAAGAGAATCTTTATCCTCAAGAGGAATCTAAATAGAGAGCAAGGTATTTGTTAGAGACCTATAGAATTGAATGTGGCAGAGTTGACTTGGTTGAATGCTGGCCCAGTTGTTCAAACATTGGATAGCACTATACTATACTATACTATACTACACTATACTACACTTACCTATTTTAACTGGGAATCCAGCTGGTAAATGAAGAGCAATAAAATCCCTCAGCTTTGCAAAATGAGTGTTGCTGATAGCCTGTAAAACAATGCATTATTGTTGACAATTCATATTAAATAATAATAATTATTATGTTAACTGGGGTCAAAACAAGAAGAGGATCTAACAATATGCTGACTGATGCACTGGTGGGAGTAAACTAAGTTCACACACACACACACAAAAGGTACTACAGTCGAAGGTCATGGCACTAGATCTACTCTGTCTCATGTCCATTACTCACCAATAATTTAACAATAGGAAGTACTTGATCTCGAAGAGACAAAGGGTGTTTATCAGCCATTGAAATGGTGGCTTTAAACTTTTGCTTCTTTACTGACAATTCCTTCAACTTGCCAATATCTGTTTTGTCAGTAGAAACAAGTTCATCAATAAAAATATCTGTTAGTTACACTGTGCAGTATTTGTAACAATATTTTCAAAGGTTCTAATAATTAATTCTTCTTCAAGAATTAGATATTAAAACTAATAATAATAAATAAAAAATAACAGCAACAGGAGCAAACATCAAAATATTTAGAAATGGAAATAACCATAATGAGCCCGGGAGGGGGGAGTACTCCAGATTCCAAGTCATGGGGGTGATAAAAATTTGTATTATTATATTTTTTTGGTGTGTGTGGTTTGATCTAAGTAGGGATTTTCATGGGTATTTAAAACAATCTGAGGATTTGCAGAAGTGCAGCATATTCTGGCCACATACATGTAGGTCTGCTAATAAAATAATACTAGTTACATGTTACAGAATGCACTCTAGCAAGAATCAGGAGAGATGACCTGATTCCTTAGTTACATTTCAGGGCTCGAAATTAAAAAAATCCTCAGGTTGCCAGATGTAAATTTTTAACCCCCAGTTTGTATGATGTAAATGATGCAGCTCATTCATTGTATGGCATGAACCATCAGATCTGATCAATAATTGATCAAATCTGATTTATACAGAAGTCTGAATAAATTTGGAGGTAAACTGGCTCTGTTTATGCGATTTGGCACATTTTTTATGACAAAAGCAAAGCAAGATAAGATGAAATGTTTGTTTTAACTTTACCCTTTTAATTAAAATCTAAATCATAGAGAAATCTGGTCCCCAAAGTGGCCAAAGTGGCAACTAAACCAGAATTTTAAGTCGCCAAGGACAAAATGTTAGTTGCACTGGCAACCGTATCAGTCGCAATTTCAAGCCCTATATTTTGCTGCTTTTGTTTATTTTTATACCATTGGTCCCAATAACAGCTGTACACTGGCTAATACCACCCACACTGTATGCACACATACCTCTTGTATTTTGTTCTGTAGAGGGGTTAAAGTATTCCTCAATACTCATATGATAAGGGTTAGAAGATGAAGGATCTACAATAGCTCCGGTCTGTTCCTCCTGATGATAAAACAAAAAGAAATAAAAATACACAAACCATAGTGGGACAATGTGAATCACATCATTCCTTAAAAAAGCACAACTGTTAATATTAAGCACAGGGCCCAGTTGTTCAAATGCCAATTAGCGTTAACCCGGGGTTAGATTTTAATCCGAGTTTCTTCCTTTTGTCCAAAGTCATTTTCTCAGATACACTGTAATTTTCTCCTTTTTTTTGCATCAGCCAATCATCAAATTACATGAGAGGCATGTTTTATGAGGTAGATTTTTGAAACTACGGTTCTACTGCTCGTGGTTACGTAGTATAAAAATAAAAGGCAGGTTGTAATGATACCGTAGTAGCGTAGTGGCATAGTAGCGTATAGCGTGTTGTTGTTCCCAGGCCTTAAAACTTAATATCCTTTTAAGCTTTAATTTCCCATCTGAATTCAAATTTCGCATTGACCCTGGGTTATCATAACCCAGCTTTGAACAACCCAGCCCAGTATGCTGTATATCTCAAAATAATGATTATATCTGTTATAATATATAATTATGATCTCAGTATGGCACCTCTACATTAGCTGAAAAATTCTCCTCCTCAATTCCAAGTAGGGTCTGAAGACCATTTGCAGCAAAAGTGTCATTTGTGTCTATGGAAGGAAAATTGAATGATTGTAACAAATCAGTGGATTAGACAGGAGAGGGTTTAATAGAGATTCCACTCTTTCCGTTATTGTTGAAGTTCCATTGGTCATTATGTATGCAGGAATGCAGCAACAACTAACTAATTCAATTTTGTAATGATCTATGGGTGAATAAAATCCATCAGTTCCATGTGCTTAGTACACCCTTACAACCACTGGCTTCGTTTAGCCTTTGGATTGTGCATTTACCCCAACTCGCCCTACCCCTTTCATTTTTCCACTAATAAATCAGTTTGACAAGTCAATGGTTCCATTGGCTCATGGCTGGAAGGCCATGTCTAGGCCCTAGCTTTGCCAAAGGTGGAAACCCCTGAACATCCTGGGCAACCACCTCCACTAAGCGACAGAGTTGATAATCATGCTAATTCAAGCAAAATAAATTAATGTGCTTTTCAACAACAAGACAAGACAAGACAAATATTTATTTGTCGAGGCCTTATACCAGCTGGTACATTTACATTTTCCAAGTTACAAAATAAAAGGTAATTGTTAATTACAAGACGGCAGATTATAACAAATAGAGTGTGAAGAGATATTTAATTACACATAAATGTAGATACACAAGGATGATTTCATAAACATTGGATAGCAGCAAATAACTCACATAGTCTACTCAACAAACAAGAAGAGCAGATTGATCAGCCAAATAACAATTTCACTTCAAATTCCTGATCATGGCTGCCAGTCCAGACAGAGAAATCATGAAAAGGAAAATAAAGAGGGCAAGGGTGGGGGTACAGCCATTAATGTAAGATCTAAATGCCTATTGAAGCCAGTGGCTGCTAAGAAACCCTGTACCAGACACAACACATAGAGACGATGAAAGCAAGGCTGACTGCATCTGTGCCACCAAAAAGGCTGGTGACTTACAACAAAAGATGACATTCCTTATCGTTAATTGCAGTAAATTCCATTTATTGCACAGTCTATCAAGACTGGCTGAAGACCAAGAGAAAGAGTGATAAGAGAGTTCCTTCCAGGCAGTAAGGTCATAATACTGCACTACACCGTCTGGTCCGGGGCCCCGTAGTTTATGACTTAAAATGTCAAGATGTTACAACTTACTTTGGGCAGTTTGTTTATCCTCGGCATTCAAATGTTCTACTCTTGTTTTAGTGAGTACTTCCACTCCAGTAGCTGTGAACACTTTACACTCAAACCCATTCACCACTTCTGTCTTGTCCCCACCCCACCCCCACATGGTCTTGTGCCTGAAGTANCAGCCATTAATGTAAGATCTAAATGCCTATTGAAGCCAGTGGCTGCTAAGAAACCCTGTACCAGACACAACACATAGAGACGATGAAAGCAAGGCTGACTGCATCTGTGCCACCAAAAAGGCTGGTGACTTACAACAAAAGATGACATTCCTTATCGTTAATTGCAGTAAATTCCATTTATTGCACAGTCTATCAAGACTGGCTGAAGACCAAGAGAAAGAGTGATAAGAGAGTTCCTTCCAGGCAGTAAGGTCATAATACTGCACTACACCGTCTGGTCCGGGGCCCCGTAGTTTATGACTTAAAATGTCAAGATGTTACAACTTACTTTGGGCAGTTTGTTTATCCTCGGCATTCAAATGTTCTACTCTTGTTTTAGTGAGTACTTCCACTCCAGTAGCTGTGAACACTTTACACTCAAACCCATTCACCACTTCTGTCTTGTCCCCACCCCACCCCCACATGGTCTTGTGCCTGAAGTAAAACATTCTCAAAGTCATTATAATAATATTCAAAAGTGAAGGCACAGGAAATCATCCATTGTGGTGTTTTGAAATTTCTGATAAATCACTTCTTGTTTTTGTACCCTAATTTATCCTTCAAACTCAGATCACGTTGTTTGACCATGAAGTTATTTTAAGCATTAGAAACATTGTTTCAAGTGAAGGTTTGACTGATGTCATTGAGAATCCAATCAACAGGAAATTTGTCCTTTTGAATCAGGAAACCATTGGAAATTTAAGTTATTGACCATTAAAATTTCTGATTCAAATAATAAACAGTCTGTCCCCAATCAATGAGAGTCACTCCCTAGCACATGATACAGCAGAATGGGCCAAGTATTTTACATGTAACTGTTACCAGTACGCAAAAGAATGAAGTTTTCTTCAAGTTTACCAGCATCATCAGCCATACAGGATGCCAAGAAAACTTGCAGATGGCTTCAAAATCAAAAACAAAAAAAATAAAGTAAGAAGGATTCATACCTTGTAAATGCTATGTTATCTGTGTTAAGCATCGTTGCTACAGATGGTGTTGTGAGTCTGACATTCACAGCATCATCACTTGGCTTGAGTGCTTCCAAATCACGGAAATCATCCCTTATAATGAAACAAGGTAAACTCTTGTCATCACAACAGTATTCTTCACTATGCTGAATACAAGTACAGGTCATATTCTTGACAAAATAAACTTTATTTTTTGGTTGATCAAAGTAGATAAGTACTGTAAAAGGTTTGAACCCAGGAGTCATTTCATGATCGTCTGGGTAAATGTAGCCCTAGAATAAGACTGTTATTTACAGTCATCTTCAGTGTCAAAGTGAGTTGTATCACATCAGTTGATGGCATTTAACTCTGGTTATTGACCTGATTAGTCAATTAATAATTGACCAATCAGGTCAATAACCAGAGTTATTAAGTCGCGATGTTGTTGGTCATCTGTCAGTTAAGCTGGGATGTTATTGGCTATGAAGGCCCGAAATGTCATTGGTGCATTTCATTCCATCTATTATCACAGTAAACAGTTGTTCACTGCTAGTCAAATTGTCAGTTGTCCTGTCATTCTCTCGTAGTTAGTTTTGCTTGAGTCTGTTAATAAGTCGTTTGCCATGCCCAGTGCCCGAAACTGCTGACTACGATTTAGTGGTGTTTGTTCAAATATACATAATAAAATCAAAATTATGTTATGTGCAAAATTTCACTAATCAAAATATTCATAACAATTTACTAAAAAACATCTTAATATTCATTTAGTGATTGCAGGTAAAATAAAATGATCAGGCATTATATCAATATTTACCTGATGCGAAGGGTCTCCTTGAAATATCTCTTTTTATCATGGTCTATTTCTAAAAATTCTCCTCCATCAACTAATAAAAAAAACAATATTTGACTGCATTAATGTTTTTGTAATAATTCCAGGATGCCCAATACAGGCAGTCAGCTATCACCCTTTCAATTTGTAGGCCTTTAAATGATACTTAAAAGTAAAAATATTACTAGGCAAAAACACTTGAATGGACTGTCAAAGTAACACCTTATGCTCCATCACAGAAAGGTTGAACCTCTCTTACGCAGGCCTCTTTGAGCAGGAAGCAGAAGACGTGTCTCCAACTACATTGTAAGCAGTGTCGGTCACCTTTGTACAGGGTGTATTAGAATGATTCATGTACATGTAAATGGGAAATCACAGAGGTTGTTCTAGAACTTTCTACTTAAGAGCTTCTGTTCAAAGAGCTTGGATAGTATGCTTTACCTCCACCCTTGAAAACATAACTCCTGTTTCCCCTTTGCCAGTCATTCTGGTCAAAGCCAATCAATGTAGTGTCTGCTCTGACATTTGCACCTACATATCATAACAGTCAACAGCATTAAATGTACACCTGTATGTTATACTGTTAATTAATTTAATTTACTACTTGTAGTCTCTGTGTTAAGAAGTGATAAATGAATCTCACTATTGAATTTTTGGAAGATACAGTATCTTTTACAAAATTATGATCAGTAAACTTAATAAATGATTTCAAAAAGAGAAGATCCTCCTCACAAGGCTTATTGATATTCACGTACACTTCCTACAGACAGTTGGGCAGACAGAGAGGTAGTACTGGAAGATTTTCCCTCAACATACATAAGCCTTGCTACCAAAAATACCTCAGTTTTAAGGACACCAAATGTCTGTAAAAACAACAGACTTAAACTAGGTGTGGAACATTCATGATAAAAATGATATCAATTATTATTAAATAATTATTCCCAAACTTCATTGCTTACCACACTTGTATATTTTATATGTATCACTTGGGCACATCCTTGACATGAATGGTACTGTAAAGATGATGAAAAACTGGTATCACAAAACCTAATTGCAGTCAGTTTCCATTCTGGCCATTGAAAGCCAGAAACATGGCCATGCCTTAGGTTTAGCTGTCACTTTACTTGTTTTAGCATATTTTTTGACCTTAAACAGTGCAACAGAAACAAACTCTGGTATCCACCGAAATGCATGTTGTTTTGCGCTGTCTAATTACTCCTCTTTACATCCCTGCTTTGTCATCTGCAGGAACTAATCTACCAAACAAAACTTAAATGTTCTATGACTTTCAAGGACCAAAAATTAAATTCCATGACTTTCCAGGCCTTGAAAATAAAATTCTTAAATTCCATGACTTTCCAAGTTTACCATGAATTGTACAAACCCTGATTATTAACAAAACTTATGCATCATTTTGGGGTTTGCTTGAATTAATGTGTTTTAGGGGTTTGATTATATAATAAAAAAATAGTGATGTAGCTCCTATAAGACCAAAAAAAGAAAAACAACAACACAACTAACTGTATACATTGTATTAACAAAGGTACAACCTCTCTCTGGATGAACTTTTTAAACCAAAGATACTGTAATGCACACTTCACCCAGGACTTTACATTCAAAACTTATTATTTAAATAATCTCTTAACACTGTCTTACCCCAACTAGTGAACTCCCATTTCATTTCAACATAGAAATCTGGTGTCTGTAGATTACAAGGTAAAAAGTAAGTATGTACATGTATTATTACAGAGGGTTTAATTTGCAGGCATGCAGGTGTGACAAAATGTCCTGTATTAAAAATCCTAACGCTTCAGTTGCAACTGCACCTGAACCTGCAAATTAACCCTTCAAGACCCAATATCCACTTTCAAATTCTCCAGACTGACCTCCATACCTTTCCTCAAAGAATTTGTTAAGAGAATTTGATAAAAGATCAAAACATTTCCCTTTCTTATTTTAACTGATTCTTGTAGCCTTTTCTCTTTACTGTGTATTGATATAAATGAATTCTCGGGAATAAACAAATGAATGAATGAATGATTGAATGAATGATGAATGAATGCATGCCTTGTTGATTGACACCTTTTGCAGCTTAGAGCTGAATTGCAGGTACAGGTCAGTTACATAAACAATAAAATAATAATTAAAACCCTAAGTGGTAGCATATTTTACAGTTACAAACTGATGCATGCCTTAGCCTTGTTAGGAGGAAATTTATGTTGGTCACTCTTGGGGCATAAAGGGTTAAGCAAAATGGAATAATATTACTTCAAATCCCTTCTTTAATGCATAAGATCATAAAAAACTCCTCAAAAGTGTTGACACATTTGGTCAGGGAAAATGGTTGCACAGTATGTAAGTGCTTCTCAAACTAAATTTCATTTACTAGACATTAGTTAAGTTTCCTAGAACTTCTTGCAAAATGATATCAATCTTAAAGTAAATTTCAAAACTTTCCAAAAGAACATGCAGCGTGCAAAGAAAGTAGTGTCCGATAGCCCAGGGCTAGTGGATTTTGCTATCGGGCTAGTGAATTTTGTTCTTAACTTACCCAATGGGAAAGTGAAGTTTTTTGAGGAATTCAAATTACAGAAGAACTGTGAAATCAATTCTGCTCATCAAAATGTTTTTGGCGCTAGTTGAAATGACGTTTGGGCCGGTATATTCTACCTTCAGCTTGCCCGAATGGCAAGCTGTAAAAATGACTTTCTTTGCACCCTGATATAAATTAAGCACAAAAATGTATTTCATGTAATTTTCATCTTGTGGTTGTCATTACAAATGCCCACAGCATAATTTGGGCAAATTGAAAAGGTTATACATGTATGTTGTAGTTAATTTCTTATCTTAGATAATTTTTTCTTTTTCTTTTGTTTTTGGGTATGGTAATGTATGTTCATGAAGCTGAAACAACAGAAAATGAAAAATTACCTGAGATAAAAAATTAACTACAACATATAAATGACCATATGAAGATGCTGTAGTTGTTAGAAATGTCCTGCCATGAGTAAGCTGTCAGTAATCAGAATATTATGATATGCAAAAAAAGATGAACACGGGAAATTTTAACTTTCTTACTGCATTGAGTTCATCTAGTAAATCTGGAATCCCAGCAAGCCTTTGACTTCCTCGAAATGTCATTGGTGCATTTCATTCCATCTATTATCACAGTAAACAGTTGTTCACTGCTAGTCAAATTGTCAGTTGTCCTGTCATTCTCTCGTAGTTAGTTTTGCTTGAGTCTGTTAATAAGTCGTTTGCTGTGCCCAGTGCCCGAAACTGCTGACTACGATTTAGTGGTGTTTGTTCAAATATACATAATAAAATCAAAATTATGTTATGTGCAAAATTTCACTAATCAAAATATTCATAACAATTTACTAAAAAACATCTTAATATTCATTTAGTGATTGCAGGTAAAATAAAATGATCAGGCATTATATCAATATTTACCTGATGCGAAGGGTCTCCTTGAAATATCTCTTTTTATCATGGTCTATTTCTAAAAATTCTCCTCCATCAACTAATAAAAAAAACAATATTTGACTGCATTAATGTTTTTGTAATAATTCCAGGATGCCCAATACAGGCAGTCAGCTATCACCCTTTCAATTTGTAGGCCTTTAAATGATACTTAAAAGTAAAAATATTACTAGGCAAAAACACTTGAATGGACTGTCAAAGTAACACCTTATGCTCCATCACAGAAAGGTTGAACCTCTCTTACGCAGGCCTCTTTGAGCAGGAAGCAGAAGACGTGTCTCCAACTACATTGTAAGCAGTGTCGGTCACCTTTGTACAGGGTGTATTAGAATGATTCATGTACATGTAAATGGGAAATCACAGAGGTTGTTCTAGAACTTTCTACTTAAGAGCTTCTGTTCAAAGAGCTTGGATAGTATGCTTTACCTCCACCCTTGAAAACATAACTCCTGTTTCCCCTTTGCCAGTCATTCTGGTCAAAGCCAATCAATGTAGTGTCTGCTCTGACATTTGCACCTACATATCATAACAGTCAACAGCATTAAATGTACACCTGTATGTTATACTGTTAATTAATTTAATTTACTACTTGTAGTCTCTGTGTTAAGAAGTGATAAATGAATCTCACTATTGAATTTTTGGAAGATACAGTATCTTTTACAAAATTATGATCAGTAAACTTAATAAATGATTTCAAAAAGAGAAGATCCTCCTCACAAGGCTTATTGATATTCACGTACACTTCCTACAGACAGTTGGGCAGACAGAGAGGTAGTACTGGAAGATTTTCCCTCAACATACATAAGCCTTGCTACCAAAAATACCTCAGTTTTAAGGACACCAAATGTCTGTAAAAACAACAGACTTAAACTAGGTGTGGAACATTCATGATAAAAATGATATCAATTATTATTAAATAATTATTCCCAAACTTCATTGCTTACCACACTTGTATATTTTATATGTATCACTTGGGCACATCCTTGACATGAATGGTACTGTAAAGATGATGAAAAACTGGTATCACAAAACCTAATTGCAGTCAGTTTCCATTCTGGCCATTGAAAGCCAGAAACATGGCCATGCCTTAGGTTTAGCTGTCACTTTACTTGTTTTAGCATATTTTTTGACCTTAAACAGTGCAACAGAAACAAACTCTGGTATCCACCGAAATGCATGTTGTTTTGCGCTGTCTAATTACTCCTCTTTACATCCCTGCTTTGTCATCTGCAGGAACTAATCTACCAAACAAAACTTAAATGTTCTATGACTTTCAAGGACCAAAAATTAAATTCCATGACTTTCCAGGCCTTGAAAATAAAATTCTTAAATTCCATGACTTTCCAAGTTTACCATGAATTGTACAAACCCTGATTATTAACAAAACTTATGCATCATTTTGGGGTTTGCTTGAATTAATGTGTTTTAGGGGTTTGATTATATAATAAAAAAATAGTGATGTAGCTCCTATAAGACCAAAAAAAGAAAAACAACAACACAACTAACTGTATACATTGTATTAACAAAGGTACAACCTCTCTCTGGATGAACTTTTTAAACCAAAGATACTGTAATGCACACTTCACCCAGGACTTTACATTCAAAACTTATTATTTAAATAATCTCTTAACACTGTCTTACCCCAACTAGTGAACTCCCATTTCATTTCAACATAGAAATCTGGTGTCTGTAGATTACAAGGTAAAAAGTAAGTATGTACATGTATTATTACAGAGGGTTTAATTTGCAGGCATGCAGGTGTGACAAAATGTCCTGTATTAAAAATCCTAACGCTTCAGTTGCAACTGCACCTGAACCTGCAAATTAACCCTTCAAGACCCAATATCCACTTTCAAATTCTCCAGACTGACCTCCATACCTTTCCTCAAAGAATTTGTTAAGAGAATTTGATAAAAGATCAAAACATTTCCCTTTCTTATTTTAACTGATTCTTGTAGCCTTTTCTCTTTACTGTGTATTGATATAAATGAATTCTCGGGAATAAACAAATGAATGAATGAATGATTGAATGAATGATGAATGAATGCATGCCTTGTTGATTGACACCTTTTGCAGCTTAGAGCTGAATTGCAGGTACAGGTCAGTTACATAAACAATAAAATAATAATTAAAACCCTAAGTGGTAGCATATTTTACAGTTACAAACTGATGCATGCCTTAGCCTTGTTAGGAGGAAATTTATGTTGGTCACTCTTGGGGCATAAAGGGTTAAGCAAAATGGAATAATATTACTTCAAATCCCTTCTTTAATGCATAAGATCATAAAAAACTCCTCAAAAGTGTTGACACATTTGGTCAGGGAAAATGGTTGCACAGTATGTAAGTGCTTCTCAAACTAAATTTCATTTACTAGACATTAGTTAAGTTTCCTAGAACTTCTTGCAAAATGATATCAATCTTAAAGTAAATTTCAAAACTTTCCAAAAGAACATGCAGCGTGCAAAGAAAGTAGTGTCCGATAGCCCAGGGCTAGTGGATTTTGCTATCGGGCTAGTGAATTTTGTTCTTAACTTACCCAATGGGAAAGTGAAGTTTTTTGAGGAATTCAAATTACAGAAGAACTGTGAAATCAATTCTGCTCATCAAAATGTTTTTGGCGCTAGTTGAAATGACGTTTGGGCCGGTATATTCTACCTTCAGCTTGCCCGAATGGCAAGCTGTAAAAATGACTTTCTTTGCACCCTGATATAAATTAAGCACAAAAATGTATTTCATGTAATTTTCATCTTGTGGTTGTCATTACAAATGCCCACAGCATAATTTGGGCAAATTGAAAAGGTTATACATGTATGTTGTAGTTAATTTCTTATCTTAGATAATTTTTTCTTTTTCTTTTGTTTTTGGGTATGGTAATGTATGTTCATGAAGCTGAAACAACAGAAAATGAAAAATTACCTGAGATAAAAAATTAACTACAACATATAAATGACCATATGAAGATGCTGTAGTTGTTAGAAATGTCCTGCCATGAGTAAGCTGTCAGTAATCAGAATATTATGATATGCAAAAAAAGATGAACACGGGAAATTTTAACTTTCTTACTGCATTGAGTTCATCTAGTAAATCTGGAATCCCAGCAAGCCTTTGACTTCCTCTTTGAAAATCACGATGTTGCAGGACAAGTGATAAAATTTCAGGATTTCCTGTACTGATCGCCTCATGACATACTAAGAGGTAGAAAAAATAAATTCTACTTATATCCTCTATCTAGTGCAATTTTTGTTTAGACAGCTGAGAATAATCCGTGGCACAAAGCATTTCCCATTTTTCAAGGACTCCATTCAGTGCAAAAAAGAGCCTTGAGTCTATGTCTGTTTTAGTTCGTTCACAGCATGACCAATTTTATCCTGAAGGTCTTTCTGTGTCTGCTCCTTTTCCTTTGCAGTTCTCCTTAAACTATAAAGTTAGCACTGAAATTCAAGGACTTTCCAGCACCAAATGCAATTTTCAATATTTTTTTCAGGATTTTTATTCTAAAATTCACGGACTTTCAAGGACTTTCAAGGTATGTGCAAACCCTGACTGAAACTTTAAATATCCTTGTTTATATATCTCTAAAAATAGAGGAACTAAGCAAGCCAGGTTTAATATTGTAAAGGCAAATGAACATATTCCTGCAGCCTTTCAACTGTAATCAAACATAATTTGCATGGTTTTTCTTCTGCTGGACATTTGCAGGATGTCATTAAGTGGAAAGCTACTCATTGAAACTGATAAATCAATAAAAAAAACTGTGATGGCTACATAAGAGTTTTTTTAACTTTAAAATAAAAGCAACTGAACATGCTGGCTAAAAAAAACAAACTGCACCGAACTGGCGAAATTTCACTTCTTTATCACTGTTAACTTCCCTTGCGAAAGACGCAGAATACGTCAGATTATTACCAACGTTGGTCATACCTCAAGCAAAATCTGCACGCAGAAGACTTAAAAGAAAAATGGTCATGTAACTTGTCGAAGAGACATGAGCTTAGAAACCTTACCATTCCACCCATCTTTATTGATGACGTTTGCATCACACCCGCTTCGAAGTAGACTCTTCACGCAGTCCAAATACCCCAGAGTTACCGCTAAATGAAGGGGTGTTCTACCCCGAGGATCTACCAACTCTTTACTATGCTGTAGATAAAACGCAAGCAATCAAAACCTGTCTAAGATGATGCATTTAAAAAAAACGACACACCGCTACTTTCAATTCACGTACATATTTTCTCTTACGGTTTCAAAGTCGTAAAACCAACCTTATTTAATGCAAGTTCCTCCTCAAGCGAAGCAGAATCTTTATGCCAAATGTGCCAGTGTAACGGGAAATCTGACAGGATTTTATCTCTACTGATTTTGGGAGGAGATGCGGCCAAAACGTCCTTCCCTCCACTGGCCGCCATTTTCGCGCTGTTGTCATTTTTTGCGTATCCGCTGACCACAATTGATAGTTCCAGTCCTCCAAAGAGCCATCTGTTTCCGGGTACGGGGGTCGTACGGGGAAGTACCGCTTTTGCACGAAAATCGTACCGCGTAGAGCTTCTCTTCACACATAAAAACAGTGGTCTCGAAGCGGTGTCTTTAGAAGAGAGAGGCTGCGTCGCGCCGATCTTGAAAGTGGATCGTCAAATATCGGACAGGTCCGCTATGCTACTCTTCGTGGCAGTCATTTGACTCAGAGGTAGGGGTGGGGGGGACTCAACAAATGTTTATACGGGGAGGCTCCGCCCCGAGGTCCAACCACTTACCCTTTTATATACCATTTTTTCAGGAAAAAGGTATCCCTTTCATATACCCTCTTATGCCGTACAGTGGGGATCGCATGGTTAGGTTTTCGTTTTCTACAGTAATGGAAGCTAAAAGGTACGTACTTTCCAGAAAAATTGCTGACTTACCTTGTTTACTACTTTGCATCCCTCTTAACCTGTGTACGTGTAAATGCACTATCTTTTATATAGGAATAAATCACTAACATAAAACGTTTTATTGACTTTATAAAGCCATAAAATTCATCTGTTAGCCCTTTCACAGACCCAAATGACAGATTTCCCTACCCTTTAAAATACTTCAGCTAGTGAAATCCCTACACTTTCAAATACCTGAGGCCTAAAAAAGGGACCCTTTTCGGGCGGAGCCTCCCCGTATAGGCCATCATAGGAGTACCCCCCGGGTCATTGAACAGGTTTATAGTGTAGACATTGCCTTAACCTTCTAAAGAGACGACAGGAATCAAAGTTCTTTCACTGGTCTCGAAGCGCAGACGTCTTTTCGGCTAAGCAGTAGTACCCAAGTTGTAGTTTTCTTCATTTGATCACTTCACCAGCTCAATTCACTAATAAAAAAAACTGGTGTCAGAGCGGATAAAGCACTTCTCTGAGGAATCAAGGAGAGCCCATTGTTGCAAATAAATAACGCTCTGATATAACAATGCACAAAATAAACGAAATCCTTTCGGGTGGGTGAAAGTGCTTTTGCACGTTTGTTTGTTTGTTTGTTCAATATTTTAAGAAGCGGGTGAATAAGCAAGGCGTACAAGAAATTTTACAGCAGAAAAATTTTCACTATAAATGATAAAAATATAAAAAACTATTGAAATGTTTTTACCTTACGAGCGTTCTGTCTACTTCAACCGAAACGGGGTGGGGGAACCTCCCTTTTCTTCCTTCGTCCGAAACTGTGAAAATTGTTCGCATTTTGTAAACTCTGAAAACGAAAAATAAAATGTTAAAAAATGAGAGAAAATACTAAGTCGGGGAAGGAGTGGGCCTGCTCAAATTCTTAGGGAAGGTAGATTTTTAAATAGGGGTGGAGAGGACTGGGGGATTTTTCATTTTATCTTGGCCCTCCCCTTTTCCTTACCTGATAAACACATGGTCCCCCTTCTGGGAAAAAAAGCAAAAATCTGTGACCCTATACTTCCATTTTTTATTGTCCTACATTTATTTCCGGTCAAATTTTATCCGGTATTTTCTATCATCTGATGTTTATGTTATTATTAATATCCTCTACCGCCCCAGCACTTGCAATGCAGGATCTCAGGCTTAAGGCAGTCTATATCTTCTGAACAAGCTTCGCGCTTGCCTTCGCTGGACTGAAAAACGCGAAGAAAAATACCGCCTGTTCTGCAGACTAGCAAGGCTGAAGGAAACTTGAGGTGCACCTTTGGGGTACGTATCAGACAACTTCGTACGTGCTAAAAAGATCATCGAAGAACGCTCACCAACTTTTTTCCCTCTCGGATCATCAGGAGCAGCGCCTTATGGTGTTGGGAATTGTCTACAAGTCGGCTGGAGAACGAGGGAGAAATTGCAGCCTTTGGGAATCAAAAATGAACATTTTGTAATTTTGATTTCATGTTTACTATATATTTCATCAACTGTAGCTGGACAGACCTTCTTTAGTCTAAAAAATAAGAGTTAGAAGAGGAGCGTATATAGCCCAACCTCCATGAGGGCCAGCTTTCTACCTTATGGTACTTTTAATCAATTTCACAATTTTTGCGAGACAGTATTTCGTGGCTTTATTTGATGAAATAAGAGTCCATCAATATTGATAGGCTCCTGACGATATCTCTTTTCAAACTTCTTGCTTGAAGCACGGATACTAGCATAAGAGGGCAATAACATGTAAACCTCCTTTAAGTGATGTTTGTTTGGCCTGACTCCCTTAATATTGGTTCATGTCATCTGTCAGTTTAGCAGGGATGAATAAAACGCGCTGCGCTTATTTTCCCGCTAAAAATATCTCTTGTAAGGCTATTGTTCCATTCATTTACCAACCTTGTCCCCAGGGCTTAGCGAAAGGATTTGAAGACGGGGTTGATCAGACCCACTTTATTACATCCACTTTGAAATCACTGGCTATCCGTGCAATCTGATTGGCTCTCAGCGGTGTGATTTATTCCTAAATCGCACCATTTTTTGGCTTAGCGAAAGGATTTGAAGACGGGGTTGATCAGACCCACTTTATTACATCCACTTTGAAATCACTGGCTATCCGTGCAATCTGATTGGCTCTCAGCGGTGTGATTTATTCCTAAATCGCACCATTTTTGCTCTAAATCGCATCTGTTCCAAATAGCGTCATTCATGTTCTAAATCGCATCATTTCTGTTTTAAATGGCACCATTTTTGTTCTATATCGCATCATTTCTGTTTGGAATACAAAATGAGATGTAAAGGCCTTTTTGTTTCGGCTTTTTAACAAACCGGCTACTTCATCAATAAAATATTAGTACTGACTAAATTCTGCGATTTCAAAATGGAAGTAATAAAGTGGTCATTGAACTTCGTGTCGTGCAATTTTGGTCTGAAATCATACTTGTGATTTCGAATCGAACTCGCGCTGCGCGCTCGTTCGATTTTGAAATCACGCGTATGATTTCAGACCAAATTGCACTCCACTCAGTTCAATTACCATTATAAATTAATCCAATTACTTCGTTAAAGGCCACCCAAACGGCACTCTATTACGTAAAACACGCATTGAACAACGGCGCAGACATTTTAAGAAACATTTATCAGACTTTTGAATCTAGTATTGCTACAATTATATATTTTAAGAATGTTTATATAATATATATATAATTTATAGTCTATAAATCTGAATTTCTTTCTGAATCAATGGAAAATACTGAATGAAAAGAAAAGAGACTGTCATAATATTTCAAAATTTACAAAAAAAAAACCTTTCGCGGATCACTGGAATACGTAACATTTTGTAGAAATGAAACTCAGTGGTTTCTAATAACGGTGGCTGCAATAACTCTTAGATTTATAGTACAAATTCTGAATTATATTGATTTTTTGAAAGAAAGCAAGTAGACTACCCAATCTTGTGGCTTGACACTCAATGTGGGTAAACCTATAAAAACGTAAATCACCTAATAATGCTTTCCACGGTCTCTCCGGCATGACGTAATTTGAAACACAGGTGATATAAAATAACTAATACTTTGTACAGTGGAACCTCCATATAACGAAGCACTACATAACGAAGTCCTCGGTATAACTAACGATTTTCTTTACCCTAGTAATAGTGAAATATATGGAAAAGAACTTGGATATAACGAAACCTCTGTATACAATCCCTTGGCCCTTCACTATATCGAGGTTCCACTGTAACCAAGAACACTTGCTCCAACGATACTTTTCATATCTACCATTAAAATACTGCATTTTTCATGGAGCAAACTAACACATTAGATTAACGGAGCTAATGTTGTAGGTTATTTGGAGTTGGACATTTTTGTTTTAACGTGTGATGTGTCTGAGAGATCTCCTTTCGCGTGCGGCTCTCGCGCGAGTTCTCGCGAATACCTAACTGGAGAGCTTGCTCGCAGGCTATTCTCCCCATATCCGAAATAAAGCAACGAATGAAGTGCCATCAAGTTAAGAGAGAAATTACACGTTATTACAGTTAATAGCGGTTTTGACAACGAGGCATAAGAGCTGAGGTTCTGTACTCATATTTTTGGTGATTCCATGACATTGCAACGGACAAAATTATCTTGAAATTAAAGGAAACCTCAAAATATTAAAATTGTTACAACACAAAAACCGGCATCAAAGAGGAAATAGTACACTGGTCTATAAAGGATTAAGAATGGTTTAGGATGGAGCTGATCAATATGAATTACTTTCAAGATACCTCAACCATGACGTAGCTCTTTTACCTGGTTTGCATGTCTTTTTTTCGAACGAAAGAACATTCGACCGCACGGTTTAACTGTAATAACCAGTTCTAAAAAGGCAAGCGATAAACGCCGCAAATTTCTGCAATTTGATTGGCTTAGAGTAGTGGTATTTCAGCTTAATTTGAAATACCTACATGTCAAAAAATTACAAACCTTTTGCGGGTAGTAGTATAAACAAATAATAGCATGATTTGTACGTGATATTTGGCATAAATACCACTCGTGATAAAATTGTCTCAAATTTCACTTGCCTAACAGCTCGTGAAATTACGTACAACAATTACGAAATATCACTCGTGGCATTTATGCCAAGTATCACTATAAATCATGCTATTACCTGTCCTAACACGATGCTGTGATTTTGTCATTCACAAGTAATTTCTCAAATGAACACTTGAAGCACACATACAAAACCAGTGAACTAGACAGCCGGACACAGCGCCCTCAAAACAATGTTTGCTCGACAACGTTTCTGATTTGTGGACCAACACTTGCACTTAGTCGGACAAGTGTCCTTTTAAAACAGAAAAATTATTTGCAGCCCTGCCGTAAAAAAGTACTATTCGCTCTTCAAGGCTCGAAAAATGATCTAGAGCAGTTTCTATTCAACTGAGAATGTAGTAACAAGTTGTTTAGCAGCTTTGGCGATGTCATAAGCGCATTGTATGACCTGTTGGGTAAGAAATGCCATGTCTACAGTATTTCCGG